ATATTCGACAGGCTTGTCACAAATTATCAGGGTAAGTATGATCTATCTTTAAAGCATTTTCCATCTGAATATATTCAAAGTTTTTTTTGTTTTTTATTTTTTACCTTCAATTCCAACAGGACCGATTTCAGTAACAATACATGTCAATGATGATGAAGAATCACGCGACAAACTTCTCAGTTCATTACATGTTTTGTATGATAGTAATCCGTACATGAAGAAATTTGTTGATGTTCATCTTGTTGTAGATAAATTCGAGCGACAATTTAACATGTGGCGAAACGTTGCAAAATTTTTTTCCCGTACGAACTATGTCATGATGTTGGATGTCGACTTTCATCCATGTACCAATTTTCGAAAGACAATTTTGGAGTCACCAGAGATAATGAGAAAATTGCGAGCTGGAAACACAGCCCTGGTCGTTCCAGCGTTTGAATATGTTAAATTAAAGGAGGGTCTAGATTATACAACGTTCCCAAAGAAAAAGAAAGACTTGTTGGAATTGGTGAATTCAAAAAGAATAGACATGTTTCACGCATCCTGGAAACCTGGTCATGGTTCATCCAACTACTCTTTTTGGTATCGAACCGATAAAATATATGAAGTTACCAAATATCACTATCAATACGAACCTTATGTCATCTTTCCCAAGGATAGCGTATGGTAAGTAAGGATACGAGTTCCGCGATTCACGCTTGAATGGAAAGCTAATTTTGCGTATTATTTTGCCTTGAAAGGTGCGATGAAAGATTTGTTGGCTATGGTGCAAATAAGGCAGCGTGCTTGTTTGAATTATATCTTTCTGGAGTGGACTATTGGGTGCTTCCTGAGGACTTTCTAATTCATCAAACACATGAATATCTCGAACACGCAAGGAAACATGAGGTAAGATCAACGGATTTAAAAGTATGTTGATTATAGAGTTCAAATCCATTTAACAATAATTTGAATTTGTAGCGAAGACTTAATAGAAAATTGTACGACAATTTCCGGGAAGAGCTTTGCTTCCGGTATTCTAAAAACTTTATTTTAAATGGAGAATGGAATACATCAAAAGCTGATAATTTGAAAGAAACTTGTCACAAGATTCGTGGATTCTCACAAGCTATTAAATATTTCGCGAGTTAACAATTGTAAAAACATTAAAACTTCATATTCGAGTTAATGTATCCAGGGATTAATTTTATTCATAGCATTAGTGTGGCATTTAATATAGATATTGGCAATTTAGAACAATTTCTTTTTACGTTTCTCTGATAGAATAATTCCAATACTTTTAATTTCACTTACATTTTTGGTCGCGAATCTCATCATCAGAAAGTTTGTTAAACTTCATATACAGTACATGTGCCCCTGATGGTGAACGATTAGT